CCGACTTATTTCTGAGTTCAGTGCTGTATCCACTTAGCAACCTCGTTAATGGCTGCTCTTTCCTGGAAAGAGTAAGATGTGACGTAGTCAATCAACACAGATTGAATGACTACTTCCGAAAATGTGTTTAGTAAAGTAGATGGAAGTTTCTTTCCTTGCACACTTTTTTGTTCATGAGCATCTGTGGGACTGAACTAACGTAGTGACCTACAGGATTTATATTTTTCCGTGTTATTGCTGAATTCTGCTATCTGAAAAAAAAGCGGCTCTGAGCTGACCACCAACGAATGAAGAGAATTGTCAGGTACTGTGCTTACGCGTTATAATCCAGACCACTAAACTTGCCTGTTTGTCGGCGTACCGGGACCACCGAAAAGAACTATTAAAGTAGCTACCTCTGGGACCTGATGTGACTAGCTGGCTTTGAATATGAATGAGTGAGAATCTGCTTTTGTTGCATGTCAGATGACGTGCAGCTGAAATTCAGTCTTTAATGTTATACTTTTGTATTATTTAATACTGCTATTGTTTCTTATGATGAACTAAACAGATGGTCTTTGCACACTGTACTGTTGCGAAGTACGACAGTTCAATAAATCTCAACTTTACTATCGACAGTGTTCGTGCTGTAGTCTTACCTTAGTTTTTAACGTGAAGGCCAGCTGAAGTATTCAGTGGTTTCAGTATTTGATTCGTTACTTCCGGTTAAATACTGCAATGAACACTAGCAGCATCCTAGTGTATCACATGCTCATTTTGCGATTACTTTATTTAACGAATTTAATTCCTTGCTTCGCGTCATACAAAACATTTTACTAGGTATATCAGTGCTTCATATACGGCACATGATGTTTATTTGAACAACGACTATTTTCAACCCTCAGATTCATCTGTTAAATTGTGAAACGGTATTTCTTTGATTGAGTTTGTCTCATCTTTTGTAATCAGTTACTGATACTGGCTTCGCAGTACTGACTCTGATTTATTCCTCATGTTTAAATGAGGTTAAATCTTTCTTCTAAACTCTGTTCTAGGCGTCTGTGTTCACGTTTATTAATTCAAACAGAAGCACTTTCGTTTAGGAAAAACGCGAGAGGAAGCAGAAATTTACCTGAACGATTTGAAGGCATCAAAACGATACGTTCAAGATTTGTGGATTTAACATTGGTTAATATGTAACGAATTTAAAACTGGTTTTTGATGGGTAGGTTATTGTGAACTCTGGAAGAATTCAGCTTTCCTTAAGACTTTGGTAATCTGTCATGACAACGGTTTATAGCAGTTGTATACTTATCACTTCATCATATGATTTGCTAGAGGCCCGATGATTTTTAAGAAACTTAAGTGTTGACATTAAATGATAAGAACTGTTAATTGACCGATCCTGGGGATCGCTAACTAGTTTCGATGCCCACACTCGTGCGATTTTTTGCCATAAACTTCCGTGTCTCTTGTACCTCCGCGTCC